ATAGTTTCACAAGACATTAAAACAACTTGTAAAAATTTGAACACAAAGGCCATTCTATGCAAAGAACTTTTATGCAAACAAAAAAAATTATATTCTGATATACATTTTAATAAGTCATGATAGCACAAGCACATGAAGTAGACATGTGTTAATTTTTTTTCTGTTTTCAAGAAAAAAAGGTTTAGAAATACATGATTATGTGATAAAATTCTAAATAACTAGATACATAAAATTAGTACAAGTGAAACTGAGGGAATCTGAAAAAGATGGATGGATTGTATCAATGTCAATATCCTGGTTGAGCTATTATACTATCCTTTTGCAAAATGTTACCACTGGAGTAACATTTTACGATTGTCATAGGATGTAGAAATTAGATTTAAGGAAAAAGCACCATCATCACCATTACTATCGTCACCATCACCAAGACCTCTAAAATTATTTTTCTTTTATGCACTGAGAATACAATTACACATTTTCAAATTAAATGACATTGTTTTTAACTATTTCTATGTCATGCATTAAATCTTGATTCTGAGTAGAACACCACTAGGTTCTATTAGGGAATAAAAAGAAATAGAAATCAGTGCCTACCGTAATTTAAAAGAAACACTTGTAGTATTTTTAGTGAAAACTATCAGTTCATTTTATGTCCTAAATTGTCTTTTGAAAATACTTCATCCCCTTGTGTTCATCTCTTAGTTTAATTCTCAAACTATTTGGAGCTTGATTTCAAGTCAGTTTTGAATAACAACTATCAGTGATTATAAAATATTGAGTTCCAAATTCTAAAACTGAAGGTAGGATGACATTATCACTGAATTTACTTTTACATAAAATATTGAAAATCACCTACTATCTGTTTCTCCTTCTCGAAGCATGGCATATTTAACTACTCATTTCATGAGAAGTGGAAAAAACATAAATTAAAGCTAATAGAATTTGCTATTTTGAAATGGGCAACCAAAATCCATTTTATTGAGGAAAGACTATATGTCCATATTAAGTCAGGGATTTTCTGCAGGATACAATACAGGATCAGAATAAGGCTGGAGACCGGCAGTTATGCATGATTCTTTTTGGCTTGCAGTCACGATGATTCACATGCTCTCACTTTCCCCTTCTGAAACCCTTGTCTCCTGTCATATACCAAACCAACAGATGTACTGTTATAACCTTCTTGAATAATATCAGACTACTCACTGAGTTTTGGCAGTGAGCCAAAATAGAAATTGGAGATCTAGACCAAGTAAATACCATATATTTGGCAAAATCATTTGTGGTTGTGTTCTTCAGCACAGTTTCCAAGATAACCACCAGTTCTACTTGGCAACTCAACTCTCTCACAGTTAAGGCTCCAATTGTAAAGTTGGCTTGTGAGATATTTTTCTGCTGCCGGCTTTGGTGGTATTACTATGCTAAGAAAAACCGTGCAGTGGTGGCATAATAGTTGAGAAAGATGTTATTCTGATAAACCAACACTAACAGCTGGTCCAAAGTTTTAACTTGTCCCCATGATAAGAAAAATTATATTAATTCAAAAGATTTAAATTATAGTAAAACAGTATTACAAAACAAAGATAATTCCTTCTAGCAATTGAGATGACTAGGTAAGACAAATGCTATCTAAAAAAAAAGAAAAACAATTGAAGTAGCAGTATGAGAAATTAAAGCATCAAAAACAGATCTGAATTTTTTTTTAAATGTCACACACCAATAGCTTTTGATGACTTATTTTATTTCAAGGTAAATTCATAAGAATGCATAAGAATTTACTAACTTGAATTTGGGGCAGGATGGTAAATAAAGTTTCTGCTAGGTGTGTCTCTGTGAATCATAAAGGCTTTTTAACAAGGTTAGCATACAAGGAAATACATTTCACTAGTGGCATCTGGCTTACAACACTGTGGGGTGGAGTCTTGGAGAGATAGAGAAATTTTAACTTCAGCCAGTGAAACCAAAACACTGACTCCAGTTTTTTTTACCTAATACAAGTCCTCTGCCAACACAGGACTTTGTAATCTATCATAATAACTCCTCAGCAAGTGCATTTCACTTGTTCTAGAAGTTATGTTGACATGCCAATGTCTAGGACCATGTGTCACTGCATGGAAATCTTATCAATCCCTCTGGTTCCTGGTATGCGCCAGACTAATGCTAGGTCTAGTTAAAGTCTTAAGAAGAGTTTAGCAAATGTGTTGATTTAACCAAAGCAAAGGACTTCCCTCATACCAAGTTGATTTCCCATTAATCATTAGTTCAATAAGGAGATAAGCAAAACTATGTTACAGGTTAAGAAAAACCATCTTGTCACTGTCCACTATCACTCCCGTAAAATTCAATTATCAATAGCTTTTCAACCAAGACAGTTCTATCTATGAAATTTTTGGAACATCCAGGTGTATGTTTGCATATAAAACATATGCCAAAATATAAAGGAATATATATTGACTGTCACATATACGGTAAAGAAGAACTGAGGTTATGCCTTTCATTGTAAACTATCCCATACTGATCCAAATAATTTCTCTTTTCTAACAAAGGAAAAAGTGTTACGTTTATTCAGATTGGTGAATATTTTAATGTACATCTCCTCCTGATAATCACTGGATCCTTAGTAATCCATTATAGGGTATTAATTAACAGATACTTTTAGCATAAAAACAGGATGCATAAAACAACAAAAGAACCTATATTTGAGGATAGGAGAGAACAAGCCATTATGGTCACTTAAAAATCATGAGAAAATATAAGTATTTGCATGTACTGATTTGAGTGGAAAATATTATATGTATTATTAGTTGAATAGCTCAAAGACAATACACACATTTGAAAAGCTGTCCCCAAGAAGTATTTAGGTACTAGTCTATTAGCAAATGGAATTCATTTTTAATTCTGAATTCCTAGAATAACTAACCATAGTTTTCTCAACAAACAGTATGCATTTATGCTAAAATCCTAAGTGTTTTCTTTCTTATTTTGGAGCAAATAATAACCAACCAATGAGTTGTCTCTATTCCACAGAGTTGAGCAGTGCTCCTCCCTTGCAATCATGTGAACCAACCTCTAGTATCAATGATTTAAGCAAACTTAACTGCTCTTCCAGAAATCAACACAGAGTTAGTTACAAAGTGAACTACGAGGACAAATAGTTTTAGAAATCTGATTTATGGAGTAATGTGCATTTACTGTAGTTTTTCCCCTAGCCATCTTTTAATCGTACACATACCTCCTAAACTTGTTTGACTCTCCAACACTTCACTAATACTTCTTTGCTTAATAGCATTAAAAATTGAAATTTGTATCCTACTCCAAACCTATTCTGAAACACACATCTAAAGGAATATAAGTCCCCTCCAGTATGTCAACTTTACATTAAAATACAAATGTAACGATTTCATTAGCTAGGCAACCACACTCTCTATTTTAAGCAAAAAAAATTCTGTAATTCCCAACTTCCTCAAAGACACTATTTTATTCCTATTTTGAGTCATTTGTTGGATATTTTTTAGATTTAGATTTGCCATTATTACCCCTAATTGGAGCGGGAAAAGCACAATGTACAATTTGAGATTTTACACTCGGGTGTATTCTACTCCCTAGACAGGCAAATATAAATATTTTACTACCTTTTAGGCATACAGCTGAAAAATAACTTTTTTCTTCTGATTCCTAAAATTAGCTAGCTGAGGAGAGGGGAGAAAAATCACTGAATGCGATTAAAAGTATACGGTGAGGGCAATAGCCGGTAGATAACACATATTTCATATTCCACCTGCCCAGGATTCTATCCAGGCCACACTTTATTTTGTCATAGGTAGAAAACTCTCCATAGAAACCTGTGAGCTTAAAAACACTAGGCTTGCAAGCAGCCCTGTGCGACGGTTCAGCAACATGCGAGTGTGAGTCTGTGAGAGAACAGAGGAGACACAGAGAAAGGCAGAAAGATAAAGACAAGACCAAAGAAACGAGAGAAGCCAAGAAAGAAAAAGAAATCTGGATGGGACTGTTACAAATCTGCTCTTCACTTCTCGGTTTCTTCGCTGGGATTGGGTTTCATTTCTTTCGGCGCCCCTGACCTTGCAGTCTTCCAACTCTCAAACGCTCCGCTCCCCCCGCCCGCCGCCCCCTCCCCGGCCTGCGCCTGCCTTTGTGTCTGCCTGTCACTTACCGGGGAACCAAGGAACCAAACGAAGCTGATTCGGGAGAAGCACAAAGCCAGGACACACACTTGCCCATAAATTCTCTTACACACATTCCCTAGGCTGGAAGGTACAGTCCAGCGCAGGGCTGGTGGACCTTGAGAAAGTGGATTCTGGTGTTGTTTCGGGACGAGAGAAACTATTCTTCCCTCTCCTCGCTCAGCACCAGCAACAAAACGCGCGGACTTATGAAAAAAACAAAACCCCACTTAGTGCATTCCAGTTCCACTCTCAGTGACATTCGCTGAGCGCACCCCCAAAGAAGGGAACACGGGGGTAGAAAAGGGCAGGCGCAGACCTAGACCCAGACCCTAGAGAAGATAAAAGGGTCGAAAAACCCCCGGTTAGTAGTGTCTCCGGAGTGGTGAGGATAAACAAGAGACTCTCTTGACTTACACTAAGGAAAAGAGGGGGAAAGGATTAAAAGGAAAAGTAGTGCCCCCCCAAAGCGCAACTATTTTAGAAAGCAAAGCAAAGAAAAACCACTTTCCGGAGGATAAAAGGCCGGGAAACCCGCCCATGGGAGACACAGTGTAAGTTTTCCTGGGTAAGGAGGAGGGGGGCATTAGCAGGAGAGAGGAGAGAACACACAACTGCAGATTTAAAAGGGGGGGGGGGGAATAAAACTATATTTGTCAGCCATGTTGAAGAGGCTCCAGTAATTTGTGAAGCTTCCCTCTTCCCTCTTGGTATTTGTGGGTGACACTTCAAGGTTTGCTCCCTAGTCCCTGGAAGCCCGAGAGAAAGCGAGGGGGAGAGGAAAGGGAGAGTTTCGCGGTATAAGAGAAGCGCTCTGACCTCGTTCTCGTCCCTCAGCCTTGCAGCAATCCAGCAGTTGCAGTCGGGTCTCCTTTCTAACAAATCCTAAAGGGCAGCCATCTTGCTTCCTTCTGCTTCTCTACGAAAGCAGCCTAGCCTCCGCATCAATATTCATAAGGCAGTTTGACGTCTGTTCTCATCACTCAGCGGGGCCGGCGTCTCCGGGCGGCCGCGCCGAGGGGGCGGACGTGACTCGCATGCGAGCGGG